TTGCATTTATATGATCTCCTCCTCTTCAAGATTTATTAACTATTTGAATTCCTAAAAAAATTAACCCATTTGGATCCCTTTTATGGTATTTATTAAAATGGGCTGACACACTGTGTTGCTCAAAGCCACGTTTTATATTATATACATGCTCATAAATACGTTTGTGAAGGGGACGTATTGTTCGACCCACGTATTGTAACCCACATGGGCAAATCAGCAAATAAACAACATTTTTACTGCAGCAAGTAATAAAATCTTTTATAACAAATTCCTCTTCTTTTTCTCTTGCTTTAAATTTGCTTATTCCTTTTAAAGTTCTATTTTTACTGCATTTACAGCCCATACACTTTCTACATGAATAAAAAACGCTTTTATTATTTAAAAACGTTGTTCTAACTTCTTTTCTAGGATGATTAAAGGTAAGGAGTCTTTTAAAATTTGGGGCACCTCTAAAAGTGATAAAAGGTCTCTCTGGTAAAAATTTTTCCAAATCTTTGTCTTTCTTTAATAAAGGCCAATGCCTATTGATTATGGATCTAATTTTTCTAGAATCACTATTAAAATCAAATACTAGGGGCATCTTTATATCTTTTTCTTCAGTCAATCTGTTCTTTTGTCCCACAATTAAATCTTCCTGATCAAGTGTAATTACTTCCTCATATGCTCTATTTAATATATTTTTTGGATATTTCTTTTCCGTAAATTTATCCATAAGGATACTTGCTTGATCTTTAAAAACATCTATTTCTGTACAATTCCTTCTCAGACGTTGTAGTTGTCCTTTTGGAATATTGTCTAACCAAGGGGAATAGTGGCCACTATTATATAGCACATAACTATTTGCATCAACTTTTTTAAAATAGTTTCTAGTTTTTATACTCCCTCCTTCTATATAGATATCCAAATCCAGAAAGCTAATGTTATTTTTACTGTGAGAACTAGTAAGATGAATCCCCCAGTTATTACCATACATTGAAAGATTATATCCTTGAATATTCTGTTTTTGCAAGTATGCATCTAGCAGCTGTTTGAACATCTGTATGGACTCTGATAAAACCACTTCTTCAGGCAAAGAATTCCACATCCTGATTGTTCTTACAGTAAAAAAAACCTTTCCTTTGCCTTAGACAAAATCTTCTTTCTTCCAGTCTAAACGCATTTCCTCATGTCCTATGTAAAGTCCGGTTTGTGAATAGATTTCCACACAATGGTTTGTATTGGCCCCGAATATATTTGTATAATGTTATCATATCCCCTCTCAGGCGACGTTTTTCTAAACTAAATAGGTTTAAATTTGTTAACCTTTCTTCATAGCGGATATGTTCCATTCCAAAATTGCACAGCATATTCAATATGTGGTCTTACCAGTGATTTATAAAGAGGCAAAATGATATTCTCGTCCCGAGAATGAATGCCCTTTTTCATGCATGACAATACCTTACTGGCCTTGGCACCTGCTGATTGACATTGCACATT